GGCATGCTGGGAGTTGTAGTCCCGCGGGGCGCCCCCGGCCATGGCGGTGCGGCGGCAGGACTCGCTTACCCAGCATGCTCCGCGGGGTATTTAAGGCGCGGCGGCGAGCGCGGAGCGCAGTGACCATGTGGACGCGCAGCTAAGGCGGCGGCGGGCGCAGCCTCCGGGAGCCGGACCGCCGCCGGAATGGGGCTACCGAACCGTCCATAGCCCGCCCCGCCGCCTCCGTAGCCAGGTACGGCCGGGAGAGAGCGGACATGGCTGGGGAGGGAGGGAGGGAGGCAGGCAGGCGGTGAGTGACCGCCGGGGCAGCCCCGTCCCGCAGCCCGAGGGATGCAGCCTGGTGCTGAGCGGGGATGCCGGGGGGATCCAGCCCGTTGCTGGGCGGGGATAGCCGGGGATGCAGCCCGCTGCCGGGCAGGGATGCGTTCCCGTGCTCGGCGGGGATGCGCGGCCGCCGCTGCCCTCGCAGGACCGGGCAGGGACCCCTCGGTCCTCCCGGCGGGTCCCGCAGCGCAGCCGGACCCGGCTCCCCTCCCCTGGATCACCGCGGGCTCGGCACTGGAGCTGCCTGTCCGCTCCAACTTTCCCCGTGTTTTTGCCCCCGTACTCGGGGCTCAGCTGCGAGGGATGTTCCGCGTTATGTAAACACTTGCGAGCGCCGATGGGGACTTGGCTATGGGCGATCTTCCTCTTAAATGGTCAAAAACCGGGCAGCTGTGGGTGGATGTTTCGGAGGGTCCCGGTGACTGGCCCGACAGGCCAAATATTTGGCTGTTTCCTGGACTACAATAACTGGACTTGAGCGGGGGAAGGGGTGGGGGCACATGTGCATTCCCCATCCATGTACGTGGGATGTGCCATAATCCCGAGCGGTTTTCCGTCTTGGTGCCGATCGCTCTGGTCCTGCGGGCTGTCCGGGCTGGCTCTGCCACTCTTTCCCCCGGTTCTCCGGGATCCCTGTGCCTGTTGCTGTGCGGGGCTCCGGGCGCTTTTCCCGCAGCTCCTGGGGACACTGAGCTCCGTGCAGCTGGGGCTGGGTCCAGCGTTTCCTTCCCTGCCCCAGGTGGGTTCRCTTTGGCGCACGGGAGTTTGTAGAAAAAGGCTCCAACAGGTGAAAAAGGTTTGAGTTGAGTTCATGGCCGTGCGAGGGTTCTGTGCCTGCTCAGCCACAGATGGATTGGGCTGCGGTCCTGCTGCTCACAAATCAGGAAGGGAGAACGTGGCTAATATAATCCAGATCTTTGCCTGATGAAGATTTAGCGACTGCAAGGCTGCAGGGAGTAGTGTGCGTGTGAGCCATTGGTTTTATTTATTAATGAGGGTCGGTACCTGTGCATGTGGTTTATTTTTTAAAGTGTGTTTAGTTATTTGCCTTTGAGGTTCTTTTCCTATCCTTGGAAATTTGCCTGCTATCCCAGAACTTGCAAACCTGTTGAGCCAGAGCACTGGCTGACTCGGAGGCCCACGGTGGAGCTGTTTTCYTTACAGGGTTCAGTTCATGACTGTGGGATGCCATGTGAGGCCAATATCCCTTCCYTTCCCTCAGTGGTTCCTCTGTGGCYGAGTTAATGGGCTCCCAGGCACTGAATTTCTTGTTGGTTTATTTTCTGTACCTTAATTTACRCCAATTTCCTCACACTGCAAATATTCCGGGTTCTAAATGCCTGGTGGTTTTACTGGTGTAAGTGCCTGGAACAATAAGAGCATTGCAGGGTGTTGTGGCTGGAGCAGCTTGGGCTGTGGAGAGAGCTGGTGGCATTGATCAGGACAGAAATGCACGTGGAACAGGATACTGGGTGAAAGAAATGTGAAAGTTGACCACTGTGGGACACAGCAGCTTGAGCTGCTGTGAAGGTGTAGCCCTCACTGTGCCTAGACCAAAAAAAAAAAAGAGTCACTGTGAAAATAAAACCACAGTTCCGATGTGTTTCAAAACAAGCTGCTGCTGAGCTGATTATTTCTAATGTTTTCTTTAAGCCGTCTCTTGTTTGTCAGTAATAGGGGTTTTTCTTGTTAAAATACCTTATTTCCCCAAGATTAAAGTGTTTGCTTAGATGAGGGCTTTTCCCCCCATCTGCTTGTTTTGCAGTGTYGATTAAGCCTTGAAATTAGTTTCCTCTTACAGGGTTTCATAAATTAGGAAGCAAACAAACAAGAATAACTTTGGTTTGCCTTTGCAATCGTGGGGTGGAGCTTAGCTGTGGGAAATGGTATATTTTTGTGAGATGTGCTAATCCTCAACACCATCGTTTGAGGGTGGAAGAGGCCCTGGTGAAGAGCACGGGAGGGGGAGCATTGGGTTTATTTTTTTGGTGATGGTTGCTGGAGCTGTAGGTTTGGATGAATGGAGCTGTCCTGGGATGAATGGAMAGGGTGGAGAAGTGGAATTTCAGGAGGAATTTCTCTGTGGAAAGGGTGGCCAGGCCTTGGCAGGGGCTGCCCAGGGAGGGTTGGAGTGCCCATCCCTGGAGGTGCCCAAGGAATGCTTGGATGTGRCACTGGGCTGGGGACAAGGTGGGCAYKGGGCACAGGCTGMACTCRATGGTCCTGGAGGGATTTTCCAGCCYCGRTGGTTCTGTAACATGATCTTATCCACAGCACCATCAATCCTCTCCCGTTCCCTCAACAAACCTGTTTTGAAGTGGCACAGGCCAGAAAATAGACAAATTGAGTTAAAGTGAAGAAATAATCTCAGGTCTTGGCAGCTCACAAGCGAGGCCATTGCAGATTGGAGTGAGAGCTGCAAACCTCTCTGTCCTGCTGTGATGTGAGGTTTTCGGTCTGATTTTATTGTAACTCCTSTTGCAAAGGCGGTGGTGAATATCCCTGGCAGTGTGGCAGCACCAGAAWGGGGCTGGTCACCTGCAGGGCTGGCAGATTTGGGGTGATTCTGTGAGTGGGGGGGTTCCAGCTCCTCCAGCACCGAGTGTGTGCCAGAGGGAAGGAGCAGTCTCAGGGCTGCTCAAATTGGGGTGGTCCACAAGTCCRTTGTGGAAGCAGAAGCAGCTCCTTTTGGCTGCTTCTTGTAGAATGAGCTGGTCCATCCTGATCAATGGACTGTAGTGAGGATTAAAGCAGATCACGCCTATCTTGAGCCCTGTCTGGTACCTGCCCTTGACTTGAGGCCCTCAGAAGAGCAGGTGCAGCTTGTTGTGATGAGCTCCTGGAGCAGGTGAAGCTGCTTTTGGCCACTTGGGCTCATTTGTGCCCAGGTGGAGCTGCTTTTGGCCACCTGGATGTGTTTGTGCCCAGATGGGCAAGAAATCAGTGGCACCTGAGCTGTCCCAGCCCTGCTGTGGCATTGGGACAGTGCCTGTCCCCTGTGCTGGGCACTGCTGGAGCACCTCCAGTCTTGGGGACAGCTCTGGAACCCTCAGTGTAAAAAAACATTGGGGGTCTGGAGCATGTCCAGAGAAGGGAAGGAGCTGGAGCACAAGGAGCACCTACTGGGAGCTGGGAAAGGGGCTCAGCCTGGAGAAAAGGAGGATCAGGTGGGACCTTCTGGCTCTACACAACTCCCTGACAGGAGGGGACAGCCAGGGGAGGGGTCAGGTTGAATTTTGGGGAAAAGTGGGCTTGAATACTTCACTTGAAGCATTGGAATGGGCTGCCCAGGGAAGTGGTAGAGTCCCCATTCCTGCAGGTGTTCAAAAATTGAGCAGATATGGCTCTTACTGCCGTGGTTTGGTGGGCACAGTTGTATCAGCTGGACTTATCTGTGAGTTTTTTTCCAGCTCCAGGATCCTATGGTTCTGTTGGTGGTGATTGCTCAGTGTGCAGCAAACTCCTTTGGAATATCTGATGTGCCAAGYTGCAGAGTGCTCCGAGAGTCTTTGAGACATTATTACCCCATAAATACAAGCTAGTTGTAGTTGTAGGATTGTCTTAAAGCCAGGAGGAATCTCGGGCTCCCGTGGGAGGTGGGATGAGGGTAGTGGCTCTGTAGTAGCTGGTAGACGAGCTGCTGGCTCGCCCGTGGGTGAGTGTGAGGGAAGGCGGCCTCACCAAAGCAGCTTATGGAGACCAAAGGCTTTAGAGGTAGAAAATCATGTGCTGCTGGAAAGTTATGTAAATGTGACATCTCTGTCACAATGAGGCTGTGGTGGAAATCCTGATTCCTAAAAATCTGCCTTACAGTATGTTGCAAATTAGTTTCTTCTGTTGAGACAGAAASTGAGACTGAAGGGGCTCGGGTGGCCTGGAGCCTGTTTTGTGCTGTGTGTGTAAAAACACACAAAGGCAATCAAAAGCTGCTGGGGTTGGTCTGGTGGCCTGTGCTGGGTGGGGACAGGTGCTGTTTTATGGGGTGCTGTGGAGGAACAGCCTGGAAGAGCAGAGTGTCCCTGTTCTGGGGCCGGATGGTGACCATGGCCGTTCCAATGATCGCCGTGCTCTTCCGCCCTGGAGGATCTGCACCAGGCACGGAGCCAAAACTGCACGAGYTTTGATCTGGCTCGATATTCCTGTCTAATTCCTGCTCCCCACGGACACTACAACAGCACTACAGCAATTACTGCCTGGTTCTCTGTCTTGGCACTGGCTGGGGATGGAGGCAGATCCTTTCCAGGGTGCTGCAGCCACTTTTTAGATTGTGCAGAGCTCTGTGTGTGCTCTTGCTTGTGCTGTACCTGTTGAGAACGGGCATTTCCAGGTCTCCAGAGCAGTTGTGGTTTATGGGATCAGATTTGCTCAGAGAGGCTGTGGCTGCCCCATCCCTGGCAGTGTCCCAGGCTAGACAGGGCTTGGAGCACCCTGGGACAGTGGAAGGTGTCACCCATGGCACAGGATGCAATGAGATGCACTCCAATTCTTTCCAACCCAAACCATTCTGGGATTCTATTCTGTGAAAAAGATGAAATGGAAACTCCAGGAGCTGTAATTCGAGCGAGGAAAGCTGCAACATTCAGCTGTGGATTCTGAACGCAGAGGAGTTTCATTTTCATGCTTGTGGTTTTGGTTAAGCTTGTCAAAACTTGGATCAGAACTTCCTAGCAGTGTTGTATGGGGAATGAAATGTCACTTCATATCTGAGCAAGTTAACCCTCTGGAGAGAAAAATGTTAGAAATGTGCGTGGAAGTCTGTGTTATTTGGGGATTTGTGGCTTGTGGCAATGTAACTGCATCCTCACGTGCCAGAACGCCAACGTGAGGAGTGCTGCAGCGAGCTGAGTGCTCATATCTCACTGATCATCTTCCCTGGAAGTGTCCAAGGCCAGGTTGGACAGGGTTTGG